GCTACTATATGTAAATATTTTCATTTTTCATTTTAGAGTTGTAATCACATTTCAGAATAGTATGGGCTAGACTGTGGCAAAATTCAGTGTTTTTCAAAGTTATCAGGAATTCACTTATCTTGAAATATTTTCAAGTGAATAACCACCTCATGGTTTAAGGCCATCTCAACTCGAGACTAGCAACTGTGCTGTAACAGAGTAAATATCTTACTGTTTCTGCATACTGAGTTTTTAAACATAAAAAGAACCTGTCCCCTTCTTTCCCTTACAAACCAGGGACTACAGGACTACAAACTCACTACAGAAACTCTGAGTGTGTGCTTGTGCGTGCACGTCCACAGGACATCTTATTGAGAAGAACTGTTGAAGAAATCACTCTAGCTGATATAAGAACTTGCCATAAATCACTGGGATAGCATTACATAGAAACATTTAATAATAGAACCACAGAATCATTTAGGTTGGAAAAGACCTTTAAGATCATCAAGTCCAACCATTAACCTAGCACTGCCAAATCCCCCACTAAACCATGTCCTTAAGTGCCACATCATAGAATCATAGAATCATTATAGAATGGTTTGGGTTGGAAGGGACCTTAAAGACCATCTAGTTCCAACCCCCCTGCTGCGGGCAGGGACACCCTCCACTAGGTCACGTTGCCCAAAGCCTCATCTACACATAAATCACCATTTTCTGAAATTAGTATTTAGCATTCCAAAAGTTTCTTCAGGACAATCAAGCAGTGAAAGAAAAAATGTAATGCAGATCCCCTTGTGTGGTGCTGGCCACATACTTAATTTAGTAGATTACAATTAGAAGGCTACTGCTATTATTTTTCTTGATTATTATATATTTTTGTGGACAGATATTATATATCATGTGCTTAACACCATCTGTTCCATATATATTTTTGACTATCGGAAGTAATTGCTAAACTGTTGTGCAATTCATTTTATTTTGCATTTGCAGATATATATAAAGCACGTCATAATCGAACATAATAACAAAAAAAAATTCTAAAAATCTTATCCTACTTTAATCTTGGTAACTTAAGACTCAGAACCTCAGAGATAGCTGATGTTGATATAATCTTAACCTTATTTACCTTATTAGTTATTTAATCTTATTTACCTTATTAGTGAAAGAGAAGCATGCACTATTGGAACTGGAGATTTTACAAGTAATGGAAGAATCCCCAGCTATTGGTTCCCATTTTGGAGTTTATGGACTACTATTAGTAATTCAGTGACCATTCTGTGTAGCTGGGGTTGAAGTATCTATGACCAAGTTTATGACACAGAGACATGTCTGCAGAATCCTCCCTTGCATACCCACACCAGAACACGCCAGTTTCCTCTACGGTAAACCCCAACACACACGCGCTCGTGTCTACTCTCTGTCTTGCACATGTCCTTTATACTCTGTCATTTGGATGCACAGGGTCTTTGGCAAGCCTTTTAATCCTGATGGGTCAGACTCTGTATTTATAACCAGTCTTAACTCTTCTGGTTAGTCGCTCTTCAAGCTCTACTTTGCTCTTTCTGGTTCTGCTTTAACAATTAATTGGCCAACTGTGCAATGTTTTCTAGTTTATTTGGATACACTTCAGGTTTTGAAAGTTTGATCTTTCATTTCTAGTAACCTTCATGTTGCTACTCAGCCGTGCTGACTTCCTGTAATGCTCCTGCAAGCCCCTCCTAATGGGTGACAGGCACTCAGTATGCCTCCAGAGCCTGAAAGAAGGTCACTTTTTGCATACCTTTTATCTTCTTTTACAAAAATGAAGGCACATGTTATTTATGCCCTCTTTTAAGTTGGTAAAGCTGTGGTGTCTGTTTTTAACCTTTTCTGATAGTGTAGCAAGAGCACCCAAGAACATACCCACCCCTGGGATGGGTGCAGAGCTATTGCCATTTCATGCCCTCTTTGGAGTAATGGGAGTAAACACAGCTGCTCTGCACAACCTCTAGAATGAATGTTCAAGGGAAAACAGTGCAGCTAAGCTATAACTTACCTGAGCAAGAGTGTAATGATCTAAATTTACAGTAATGAGAAGCTTTAATTTGATACTAGAAACTGGAATGAACGGATGAGGTATGTTTTGACTAATGAATGTAATATTCACTGTTACTGTCAGGAGGCACTTCTCTATAAGGACTAATGCCATTACTGTTATTTACAAAAAGAAAATGATTAGAAAAAAAACACCATAGCAATGCACAGCAGCTTTAGAGAATTTACTGAGCAACAAATAAACCTACATATTGTCTGGATACTGGAGAGGGAGGAGGAGTCAATTTACTAAAGACGTCAGCTTATTTGCACATTAATAAATACTTATTTAGGATATGTAAACCAGAATATCTCTATTTTTATTTCTCTTAGATTTGCACTACCAGTCGTGTTTTATCCTTTTTTTTTTTTTTTTTTTTTTTTTTTTGGCCCAGAGCCCCTTCTATAACTCACATTGCCCACTACACAGGTTTATCACAAAAGTATAGAAGATATATATCCATCTAGGTAAAGTGCTTTAAACAGCAATTTGATATGAGATACATTTCAAACTCCAACGAAAATGGAAAAGTGGAGATGCTTAAGATCTTGATGACTTATAATGGGGTATTGTTTGTGATTCTAGATACTGATTTGAATGCAGATAAATCAAATATATTCATTTTTGTTATGTTTCCACTTGAGAGGTAAGATTTTCTCCTGTAACTCTGCATGAGAAAGCTATAAAACCTGCACAGTACAATGTGGTAAGACTAAGTGCTACTCCTCAATTTTCTCCCAAGGTAACCTAGACTGAAGGTCTGAAGGACATGAGTTCCTAGAGAATCTCAGGACATTCTGAGGCCTCCTCTGCACCACCCCCTTTCTCCTACTAGTTATAACGAGATTGTACAAGAATAAGGATGTCAAGGTTGACATACATATTCTTATATGAATATTAGCGTGTGATCAGAGCCTTTCACCCATTCAAGTGTGGTGTTCTTTCATAAGGAGCCAGACTTGCAACATATATTTTGATCTTCCTTAAAAAAACCCAGGTCTTTCATTTCTTCAATATTTAATAATTTTTTCATTGATTCTTAGAGTTCAAAGTTACCCTTCAACTTTGCATACCAGATGCCCTCCTTATATTTTGTGAGTGAATAAAGAAAACGAATTTTGAAACACAGCTAACAGTTTGCACTGGATAGCAATAAACATGCATTTTGAACTACTTCAAAATATAAGAAAGCAATAAGCAGCTCTAGAAAAGAAAGAAGGAGAATCCGGATATTTTCATTCAATATCAGCAATCAAATTACTATATCTGCTCCCATAACAACCTTCACTGTTCCCTCAATAGTCACGCTTGATGACTATTCACAACTCATGCACATCTACTTCACCACTATTTCATTTATCAGAATGGAGGCAATTGAGGAGAATAATCATTATGAAATAATAAAATATCCTTTTAAAAAAAAAAAAATCAAGCCTGAGAATAAGATTCAAGGTTTCTATTTTCTGATAATATAACTTTAGAAATGATTTCATGACTTTATTTGAAAAATGGGTATCATCCAAGTGAATGGATACAATTCTTTTTTCTCTACAGCCAGAAACCCAGTATCCTTTAAAATTAGAAAGAGTATTCATTTCTTGCTCTTCCCCCTCCCCACCCCCAAGGAGTGGAATAAGTGAGGAAAAAAAAAAAAGAGATGAGAAAGAACTATAACATCCTTACCATTTGCTTATGTTACATGCAAAGGGCCACACTTAATGTTGATACTACAACATGCAGCTGCAACTGTATCTATGTTACTTTTTTAGCTTCTCAAATGATTCTTACATTTCACATGATTTTTCTACAAAGACGACAGCTGACAAGAAACATATAAAGTGTTTCTGAATTCTTTTACACATAAAGTATGTTATAGGCAATAACATGCTCAAACGACAATTTAACACCCCCAAATGCTGCCCCCAAAGCCCTACATTTTCATCCTACATCTAGTACATGTCAGTCCTAAACCTGGATGCCAATATAAAACCAGAAGCTGAATTTTTGGCAATATGAAATTACTGGGGCTCTTTTTGTTAGAAAATATTCACAGGATAATTGTATGCTATTTATTTTTTATATATATACATATTTCATTTAAAGATACAAAGAGGGTACTGGAACTTAAAGGATAATTTGTAGTTCTAAGATAAAAAGCATTAGACCTGCCTTCAAGACATCATCACTCTTTCACTGCTTGCCATGTGACCTTGGCTAAGTCATCTTTGTGTTTCAACTTGCCAGTTTTAACATAATATCTAACGTTGATATGACATAAAGCTAAAGGTGACTGGATAGAAGACAACAGTACAAGCACAGGGCCGTGCCCTATTTTAGGATTAGCTAACTTGAAATCTACTGCATGTCATGGGGAGCTGATAACAGTAACTTACAAGACAGAGAGAAAAACCCATGCTCGAATATCTTGTTTTCCATCACAGAATTGATAGTGACAGAGAAAGCAGGGAGAATCTCCTTCAGTGAATCCTGAATTTTTACCTTTAAAAATCCTTTCTGTTGACAGAGCCTGTAAATCTTGAAGAGCTCTGGGAAAAACGTTACATATTCAAACAGTGTCGCCATTACAACCAAGGCATTTAGCATTTTCAGAATTTGTTCAATATTTAGTTAATAACTAAGGTTAAAAATTTGATTAAGCAGCCAATTTCACACATTTTCAAAATGCTCATGTTTAAGGAAAAAAAAATAATCAATGTGTCATTTCACATACGTTGGGGGGGTTGTGCTCATCTGGAAAAAACATTGTGGTATCTCACCTGCGTCACTGAGATTTACGGACATTTTACTGTGCTTTTAGTGTCAGGATTAAGTTTTCAATCCGATTCTCACTGTATTGTTTGCAAACTAGACATATCAAGAACATACTCTTCCCAAGGAAGAGTGGCAAACAGGCAACGCTTCAGTTCACGAGAAAGGCATGACTTACCTTGTGAAAGTTCCTGAAATATGCTGCCTTCTCATCTGGAAATTTTTCTAGCCTCCTAGGTCCTTTACTGGAAGCCTTCTTGAAAACCAACCAACAACGCCTGAAAATCTGTAAACAAAAGCAATGGATTATATCAGCCATTCTTTAAAGGTGGACACTATCACAAATGCATTCAGCTATATAATTGACGTAGAAAGAGATTTTAAAATTACAATATTTAATTTTAAAAGTCTGAAAAATTCTGAGAACATCAATTATTCCTACACAAGTAATCCCGATTCTTCAATTTATACATACTGATTGTCAGTACTTTGCAGACCTTTTTGCTTCAATTTTTCATGCATGCCAAATTTGACAATTCCTGAGATGCAAGTAAACCCGTGAACTTTGAATATGAAAGGGATTCTAAGGCTGTCATCAAGTACTTTCAGAAACCACTCCACGCAGCTCTACCTTTCACATTTATACTCTATTTCTATGAGAGTATCAATACCATTGAGAAACTTTTATTGCAGCTTTTAACACAATACAATAATCAGAAGAGCTTGTATGCACAGAAAGTTGAAATGAGCGCCAATGTGACAGTTGCTGGACAACAACATCTGGTTCTCTCACTTACTTCAATGACAAACTTGAAAGGAAAAAAATATGCAGATTATTAAAAAGTTGGGGAACACATAGTGAAAAATAAAATCCTCCAGAAAGCATAAAACAAACCAACATTATGTTCTCATTTTAATGAGAACCACACTAGATTTTGCTCAAAATGCATTTTTAAACAACTAGGGTACTTTTATTAGACTATTTACAAAGCGTTCTGGTAGTATTGCCATAACCAGACATTTGAAGTCAGGATTGAATTATCAAATAAGAATACATTTGCAGTTCAAAGAGAAGCTGATTAAGGATAATCCTCTAGACTATATTATGCAAGTAAGGGATTAGATATTAATCTAGTTTTACAATCTATGAAAATAGTTTACTTCATTCTCCTCTTTAGTACTTGCACAGCTCTATAAACAATACCATACAGAATTTTATGTTATTTCAAGGTTACATTGAAAACCAAAAAAACCTCTGCAATACTACAAAAACACAATACTAGTTAATGGTTCTACTGGCCATATATGAAGAGCCCTATTTCTTCAGAAATTCTACAAAATTTAATGACACAAGTAGTACAGTTCTATTTAATTTGGATCAGATCAAACACATCTCCCATTAAAAAAAAAATAAATCAAGGAAATAAGAGTAGGGAGAGCTAAAATGAGGAGTTTTCCCTTCAGTGTGATGCTGTCTAAACTGAGTATAAGCAGTAAATATAGTGTCACTAAGCCTAATTAACTACATTCTGATATAACACTACTGGCACTATCCTGTTGTCATTCTCTCAGATGAATGTTATCAGTCAAAATAAATGTTTCCTTTTAAAAATTTATAATTGGACTACAGTATCAGTATGTTTAATTATGAAGACTTTTGGAAGAAAAACAGCATTTATGAAATCCTCTGCAAGTATACTTCTTACAAAACATACAAGTTTGAGGTCTTTTTTTACTAAGGTTGTAAAGTGGCAACTGTACAACTGTACTTCCTATCTCAGAGATTACTTCACCTAACCTGGGGGAAAGAAAAGACAATATCATATTTCCTGAAAAATATGACATTACACTGTGGGACATCATAAACTATCTTTATTAGATAGTACTTTCTTCAAATAACATCCTGGCAGTGTTGCAACTTATTTTACCAAAGCTATAGCACTGTTATCTCTTGATTAACCCATATTAACTCTTCACAACGTTGCAGTGCGAGAAGCTCCACTTTTGCAGGTAACACACAAGAGGATATTCACGCTATTTTGACCTTACTAAAACCAGCAGCAACAACTGTCCAAAGGGGACAAATTTATTCATTTAATAAAAGTGTCACTTTTAATAATACTCCTGGTTCTGGGATCTGGGTTGTGGGGTTTTTTTTAGTCTATGTGTATTTTCAGTTCACCTCTCTTCCTCTGAGGAATGTCTTTTCCTAAGAACTTCTTTATCAAAGTAAAAAACATTGCCTTCATTTCAAATCTTTTATTGATTTCCTTATTTCCATTATCTGCCCTTAATGATTTACAGTCCTCTCAGACTTCTCTTTAGAAAAACAGATCAACCTACATCAGCAGTGGTGGCGGGTTTTAGCACAGCCATGGAATTTTGGACAGCTGGTGATAAGGTAACTGAAGCTTTGTGTCAATTGAAAGAGTAAGTTTTTTCAGGTTTTTTGTTTGCTCGTTTTTTAATATGGTGAAACCATATTTTGTTATGTTGCAAAGTATCAGAAAGATCCAGTCGTCAGAAGTATCCCTAATAAATGGAAAACTAGACAAGCAAAGTCAAGGAGTCAGATTTCTCCCTGCGAGGATGAGAACATTTTCCAGAAAAAAGGTCATCAAATGCATACTCGAAAGCAATTCCTTCAGGTGACAAATGAACAGGGTCTCCTGAATCACAACTTCAGTCTTTTTTTCACTAGATATCTATCTGGGACAGTGTGGAGGTGGGTTTGAGGGTTTGCAACTAAACTGACAAAATTCAAGAGGGAGGCTTTGACACTCGTCTTAGTTGGGACTTTATCCATCAAAGAAGGCTAGATGCTAGTTATCTTTAAAGACTCTCCTCTTTAGGCCTTTTCCCAAAGTTCCGCATTGGGGCAAATTCAAAGGCTTCAGCATTCAGACTGCGGGAATGACCAGCCCTTGCTTTTAAAGGAGAACAGTGACGAGCAAGAGGAGGAAACCGTAAGTTTTACCCTTGGACTGTTACTGCTTCAACTTATTGACATCTGTTTTTTCCAGACCTTTAGGGAGAGGAGAGGTGTGAAGAATGCAACGGCTCAATGAAGCCTCCTAATTTGGTATATATATACACCAAGGTACCTCCTTGCATTTGGAATTTACATTTTTAACCTACAATCACTTTTAAAGCTGGTATAAACAGATACAGTTCCAAAGCATTTCAGCAGCTTTTTATCTGATTACACCAACAGACAGTTTGTATATCAGTGTTTGAAAAAGCATTAGCATATGAATAAATAGGTGCAGATGTGAGCACACAGCAAACAAACATTTGCCTTTCATAAGGCACCTCATTGTTATACAGAAGCCTACTCAATTATTCACAAACTGTGAGACAGGCTTTTATCCCTGGCCTAGTTTAGGATGCCATTGGCTGTAATCAAAACTTCTGAAAGACTTCTAAAGTCCTCAGATAATTGGGGTAGCCATAGTGAAAGAAATCAGCATCAGCCCTTTAACAACAGAGAGAATGAGAATCACTTGCAGTGTTGTCTCCATAATATTTACTATTTCCTGTGAGATTTAAGTGTCTGTTTCTCACACATACATAGTTGAAGAAATGCCAAATATTTGATCATTTAATCAGTTTTACAGCATTCTTGGATGAGCACTCACTGCTCAGCAAATATGATTTAAAAATTTTTTTATCGATGGCAAACACCATGAAATCTAACCCTATGCCTTTGGTTTTTTTCTGGTGAAATTCAGAAAGATAGCATTAAGTACATACTATGTTTAGGTTTCCTTTTATTAAAGTATCAATTAGAAGGACCAAGACTTGTTCAGTATAAACCTGAGAAGGATTCTGTTGAAATTACCTGCTGAGTTCATGGTATAGCAGAACCTCTTCAAACACCCTTCCTCTCTCTTTTATGAGATGGGCAAAGCAGAAAAATAATATTCCTCTAGATCCCACTACCTGTGCAAATATATATATATATATATCAGTAAGCGATGGCAGTAACTCAACACGCTTGTGGTCTGTTGACAACTGATTCAGCTGCCCCTTGCAATATCATATAGGAATGATTTTCATTACAGCGTACAAGCTTGCAGGGGAGAGTAGCCTCTCTTCCTAAGGATGGACTCTGAGAAGCCTCATCTCGTTTGCCAGAGAAAAGGATTCCAGACCTGGAACAATATAACTTTATCATCTTCAAATTATTTCTGAAATCTTGCCAGTAAGAAATTCAACTTCTAGTGCTGCTCCTTTTCTATTAATCTTTAGAAATCCCTTTTTTATATTTTAATTGAAACACTGCAATAGATCAATTCATGATGAAAATCTCTGCATAATCTTCTTTTCTTACTTTTTCTTCTGCTTAATTCACCTCTCAGCTCACCTTTCCAGCCTGTTCATATTTTTTAATATTCTTGACTAATATATGCAAAAGTTTGGCCTCTGAATGGATCATTATTCCTCATGCTCATATCACACAGTTCTGTTTTATTGTTGCCATGGTTGTTCATAATAAATCCATTAAAAGACATATTACGGGAAATCCACTGGCTAAATTAATTTTTCAGAAAGAAGAAAAACTTTTTCCTTTTCCTAAAGTAATTTAAAACAATTGGTTTACAGTGCGAATCTTAGGCATGATTTTCCATTTTCCAGAGATTTCTAAAGCCTTTTCCTAGTCATTTACAATAAATGCTTTTCAGATTAACATTTCTTTTTATCCACAGCTGTAGCTAATAAAGCTTTGCCACTCATCACTAATATTTAGAGAAGGGATTTTTATTGACAAGTCTCTACACATTATTCCAGAAATTCCCCTTCACACTCAAAGGAAATAGAAACCTTTGTCCATATTTTTCTTTTTTTAATAATGGCGAAAAAGAAAGTTACAACACGATAAGCTTTTTTTTTTTTTCCCAAACAACCCAAGATGCTCTGAAATGTCCCTGCCCTTATCCAAAAGATAGTACAAATAGCAATCACTTTCTTGGGTACATTGGAAAACCATCTCATTTTCTGCCACTAGCTGCAGAAACATTTGTCTCTTGAGAGAAGCAGCAGTGAGTCAGCTCCTAGTTACTAACAGAAACCATTAGTGACCAGGATGGGCACCAAAGCATAACTCATGAGGCTTTTTGCTAGCATAACCCATCAAATGGTTCTCCCAGGAGGAGATATACATAATAATATTCAGTCCTGCATTTACTTCTTGTTATCTGCAGGAAAGGCTAGTTGATTCCTCCTCCCTGGCTTTCCATGAGCAGTGCTCTCCTATTAGACAAGACATCTGCAGTGCATGCATTGAAAACACTAAACCATGAAAACGTTCGAATTTACTTCACTTGTTATCTCCATTAAAAATGGATATTGGTTTTTATGGGGTGTGTGAGAGAAACACAGTATATTGTGAGCTAAATAAAACCTTGACTCACAAATTAAAAAATGTAGCATTCATAGTAAGAAAAATAAAAATAGTTGTCACGGTACAGTCATATCTAACTGTTGTTTTGACAATCACTACTTTTTGATTTTTCTGGGCATATTTTGGCAAATGGAGAAGAGATGAGAGGTGACACCTTACTGCTTCAGTGGAACTACACTTGTCACACATTCAAGTAAAATTCAAGAGAAACTGAAAAGCACTTATTATCTGTAAAAAGGCCCAAGAGGAAAATGGGAAGACAAACCCATTCATGCCTCAGCTAAAGAGTGCAAGTTACAGGGTATAAGCTATTGCTGAGTAAAGTCAATAGAAAAAGGAAACAAAACAAAATACCTCATGTTGCAATCCACCTACCTGAGTTACCAACACTTTGCATTAAAAAGACAAAAGCAAGTACTGTTGTAACAAGGCACGCCATCCCTCCCGCACTTAGGTTTCTGAGCATCTTTGAAATTAAGGTGCCTCAGAAACTGTTTTTTCCTCTCTTGAACAGCACTGATTTTCACTATCTGCTTTTTTTTTTTCAAATACAGTTACCACTGCACTAAGTGGGTGCGCTTTGGGTGGCAAATTTGGATCCGTATGAAGGAGCAAGAGAGGCGGAACACTACCGCGCAGCACTGAGCTCCCGAAGTAGCGCAGAGGTGCAGAGCAGCAGGGAATCAAGGCTGGCTCCTGCTCCTTCACCACACCCCTGGGACCTCACACATTTCCCAGCAGCAGAGCAGAGATCCTCCGCAGTCATCAGACAGCCGCTCCCCCCCAGACAGGAGAAGTGCAAAAATAACCCCTAGCCCTGCTCAGAAGCATGAGGTTACTTGCTTCTTTCAGCAGCTCCGGCATGTGGGGCCAAGACTTTACCACAAGAAGTCTTGGAAGATTTTCTCTTTTTTTATTGATTCTACTCTCCACCTGATCTTGCATATTTAATTTTTTTTTTTCCCCAAACATTACCAATCTACCACAAAGCTACTGGAAGAAAAGCAAAGCTGTTTCAACTGTAAAGACAGGATTAAAAACCCCACAAATATATCCCAAAAAGCTCACTGGTAACGTCTTTAATAAAAAATGCTGTCTGAAGGTGTGTTGTGAAGGCTATCCAACAGGGAAACATTTCACATATATGATAACCTTGCACATACCCTTGAGCTTCATTTTATCATCCTAATTGGGAAGCAAGGTTAAACCTTTAGTTTCTAAACCTTGTAGTATGACCTTTTGTAACGTTATAGAAGACAATTAGGTCTTAAAATATTTTAGTGTCATATTTCAAATCCTAAAATTTCTGATAGCATTTTTTTGTGTTTTCCAGATTGAAAATCTGCTGGCATTTACAGTTAGGAAGAGAAGAAATATAGAAACATCTGCTACAAACTGTTTCATCTCAGATTAGATCAATCCTTGTGGGCTTGATTGCAGTCAGGGAGAATTAGGATGGTTAGAGAGAGAGATGATTAGGGACAATTCACCCAGTTATAGTATACATACGTCATCTTGCTGCTGCCATAACATACCATTATAGATTCATATAGATGTTTATAATATACTATAATTTATGGTGTTATAGTCACAGGCTATACATGTAATCCATAAAAAGATTTATTTTATTATTAGAGTTCTGTGAAATCAAAGCACACCATAGTAATTTTCAAACTATTCCTATACTAACTAAACTACTGTGTATATAAACATTTTAGCTATGGAATCTAAAGTCTGTTTTTTCTGTGTTTAAAAAAGAGTGGGGGATACACTTTTGAAAAGATTTGCACACTGTATTCCTGTGAAAAGTGTTATACAATTTGATCAATCCTTAAGCACCTACAGCTTAAAAAAATCACTGTTTCTTTGCTTTGAACTGCCAGCAGGGCAATTCAAGGACAGAAGGACAGCCTACACAAATAATGCGCTCAGTCTTCATAGCAGTCTGCAGATCAGCAGAATTTATCACTTATATATGAACTGATCTTATGGTTATTTAAAAAAAAAATCAGTTCCGGTAGCCATTTTTTGGCTTTCTGCATTTCTGACTCAGTTTTGGCAAGACTAACTTCAGTGATTCTTTTGGAGGAAAATTAATATTGTGTGCTTCATGTCTGGCCTCAGAGTAGGTGACAAAAAAACCTCAAAACAAACCACAACAAAAATTTGGTTACAACAGTGTTAGCAGGCATCCAGCAGTAAAACCCCAGAGCTTGCAATATTTTCAAAGAAATTATTATGCCCAAGATATTTCAAGGATTTCACTGAGCTTAAGCTGAATGTGTAGTAGCTACTTATGAAGAATTATGTACCCAGAATTTGTACCCCAGTTCATCTCTCCTCCCACAGGTACTTTTCTACATCTGTAATCGGAAAAAAATACTAACAGAGGAAGTTATGGTTTCACTATACTTTACTATTAAATATTAAATTTCTCAAACTGAACTGCAGTAACTAACTTACTTCACTCACCTGAAGTTTTTTAGTGGAAATACTGATTTTTTTCCCCACTTTTTATGATGTTTTACTTTAATTAGTTACACATAAATGTAGTCCACTTGAATATGACAAACCACAAATAATGGTTTGATATTCTGCAATAGAAAGCAATATTTACAGAAGAAAAGTTATAACTCCTGTCATTAGTTTTTAATCATATAGCTATATATTGAAATAATGGAAATACCACTGCAGTAAAGCCTCTTAATTTTTGACTCTTCCATAGATGAGCTTATTAAGCTGAAATGCAGTATCTTTCACGCATGTTTAGTAGACAGTCATCGCTTTGTTCTTGAAAAAATTAAAGGCTTTTAGTATACCTACAAGGGAACTTAATGCTGAGCAACAGACAAGTTGGAATTATTGAGATAGATAGATTTCTTGTTTATGTCATTGTAAAACAAAATCCAGACCTTTACACACAACCTGAAATAACCCACTTACATTGAAAGATGGTATCTATCTGCTCAAATCCCTAATATTTTATGTTAGAAAGGCAGGGATTTGTGAAAATAAGTGTTAAAAAATCAAAACCATGCAACAGAATACCTTAAAATGAAGCAGAGCTTCTGAACAGAATAGTAATCGCAAACATCTGTTCTATACTACTGAGGGACAAAAACTCAAATCATTTTTACAGCTCCAATTTAGAGGGTTGCAAGCTCAAATTCAGCTTCAGAATCCAGAATTATTCTTTAGGTTTACATCAGCTAGTATTTTACCACATCTGTTCATATTTGTCTCTACATTATCACACAGAAAGCTGTCTTAGCAGAGGTATCACAGTCATCAAGATGCTGTTGTTTCGCCTGATAAAGTAAGTGGAAACAGTGTGCTTTGCATGGGATTTAACATAGCTGAGCACAGCACTAAGTCTAAAGCACTTTCCACAGTGAGCTGAATGTAAGTGCCACTGTATATTTATGTAGGTGTGTAATTTCTAACAGCAATTGATCCTCAAAGTAGAATAGGAAAGTTAGAGTCTTTTATTTGTGGACATGTGTTGTCATTTCAGCATATATCTAGAAATTCTTACAAAATCTAGCCACGCTGATATATGCGGGTGAAAGCTAACTGTAATCTATAGCTAACTATAACCTATAGGTTCCGCTATTAAATGCCTGGTCACAGTCCCAGGCACACAGGCATGCATGAAGTGTATGCAACATGTTTAAATACAGCGAGACCAAACAATATATAAATGCCAATGTAGAAGAAAAGCCCTTCAAACATCCTCTGATACACTGTACTACAGAACAGAGCGCAGATTCTAAAAACGGCATTTATCCATGACATATCATTCAATAAACCTCTGAAGTAACAGAGGTTTGTATGAATCAATCATGTTGGTTTCCTA